CCGATGGGTGAAATCACGGTGGTTACATCCATTATTTTACATGGCGTGTTCATGTACGAGGGATAACCCATTATCAGTGGGTCAGAATTGTGTACACCTATCTGCAGCAGACAAGTATGTCCTTCTGTTTTGTCTAGCGCCCTCTATTGACCAGCTACCACTGTTCATTATGATGAAAACCTCCATGATCTTTTTTGCCACTAGTACGTTGAAAAAATTTAACTTTTGCTGCAGATTTTGGACAGACCGTGTGCGCTGTACTACAGGAAGTTAGCATGAAAACAATTAGCTGAAGGTAATACAGCTCTATTTATACATTTTTTGATACAACTGAAACATTCGACAGCATGTTTAGCTAGCTAACATGGGTAGCATGTTAGCTTTGTATCATATTGTGGATCGTAGGTCTTTTAACAAAGCATTTCACAAATCTGTCTGCACACTTGACAGGCCAACCTCCTCACTTTTTGTCGCCATGCATTATGGGTCCTGTTTTTGTCTCTGTACTGCTCCATGTGCATATTCCACAAGACTGGACTGCCATTTTTGCAGTGGCATTCTTATCCATCCACAGAGAAAGGCATTTCCTTGCAGTAAACTCTGGTAGGCATACTCTGTATACTATATACAAACTTGGTGCCAACCTCTTAAACGATGTTCAGGCGTTGCTTGGATGGAGACGGACAGTAATTTGTGGCGGCCTATCATTTCATTGCACTGGGAAAGGGGCTAAAATTAGTGCTTACTCCCAGGTGTTGTATTTTTATTACTGCCAGGCCAATCAGAGCTGGAGCAGATCAATACCGGTGACTTCTGCAGAGTCATCTGTCCTGGGAATGAATGCTAATTGTAACCTTTCCCTTTTCCTGTAAACTTAAATACAAAAGCCAGATGTTAGTGTGTTTTTTTTGTCAAGTGAGAAAGGGGCTCTGTATATTCTAATGGCTTATTGGCTGATAGGTGGGTATCCTGTTAGCAGCCACAAAAAGAGGTGGCTACCCCGATATCTGAGTATACTCTCCACTACACCATTGGTTGACGTGTTCATCATATACAGAATTTGTGTCTCCCTCTTTTTGTTTCTGTGTCACTCTGAGTGAGTGTGTACCACATATGTTTGTGTCCATTCAGGCTGGTGTGTGTAGACGGGCTTGTTGACATCTGGTTAGCATTAGAGGCACTAAAGCACTGTGAGTCTTGCCTTGTAAAAGATTGAGCTGGCAAGGCTCCAGAGCAATGCACAGGCCCCTACTCTGGCCCCATGGTGAGCATAGTGTTTCCTAACCTTGGGACAGAAATGTACGCCTCATTCAGTGGTAAAAATCTTTAAATCCCGCACCGGACAGAGGAAACTGTTGTGTCTTTAGAAACACGTTTTATTTAGAAGTCCTTTTAGCTGCTCTGGATACAGATTCACACACAGACTGACACACGAACAAAAGGAGACACATTCACACGTTAAACAGACTCCAGATGCAGATCAGAACTCGATTACGATTTCCTCTGTGGTTCAAGCAAAATATTTGCATGCCATAACAAGACTCATTAGAAACAGATCTGTTTTTAAGAGCATCTGGCATTGTGTAATTCTGACCCATAACTGCTGTCGATAGTACTCCACATAACATTCTCATAGTTGTTTGCGTTGCTTCAGCTCCTAATTAACATGTTAAGATTCCCACCATGGTTCAGAGCTGTATGAGCAGACGCTATAATAACGACAGCCATATTTTCTCCTCGAACTCAAAACAGGAAAAAGTGAGATGATCAGCCACGTCAACTGAGTTGCACGATGCATCTGAATGAGCAACACAGGACTCAAACAGACGAAGACCGGAAAAGTAAAGGTGCAAAAGCGGAAATCAATTCACCACTTGCAGCACACAGAGTTTGAAAGCTTGTGACTCCACACCAGTCATTTGAAATTGAAGAAGCTTCTTGGACGTCTTCAAGAAACACAAGCAAGTCCAACTGATTAGCATGACCTGGATGACTGAGACTCTTGCAGGAATGTTCATGCAAACATCCACATGCCCACAGAAGAAGAGGAAGAGACATATTTGACCCCTACAGTCCTTGCTGTGAACTGTCAGAAGGAGGGCAAAGACAGAGAGAGAGAGACGCATGGGGAGGGGTGGCAAATGAAGACAATACTTTCCATGCTCAGGCTGTAAGTTTCTCACCCTGCCATTTACTCCTTGCACATGCTCACTCACCATTTCTAGGTGTCATTGTCTGGGTAGGTAAATTGAGTCATCAGCTGATTCACAATCAACCAATAGCACAGCGACACACCTTCTCTGCCAGCCTATCATCTTACCACTCCTCATTTTAAATATGGCTCCTTTTTCTGCTTACAGTTCTTTCTTGCTGCAGTCGTGCACCCTCCACCTCCCCATCACCACCTAGGCTTTACAGATTCATCAGCCACATCAGCCTCATCAGCCATCAGCCTCAGAGTCATCAGCCACCACCACCACCACCACCACCAGTGTCTGGACTCCATGGGGGGATTTATCCTGCTGCTGCTCAGATGTCCCTTGATTACAAAATATCTCCCTCTGGTGTCCAAGCGCCAAAGACTTCTGTTAAAACTTAATCAGCACAAATCTTCTGTCTCTCCTGATTGAACTTACTTAGTGGGAGTCAGAGTCCTTTTCTACGGTCACTGTTGCTGGCAGAAACAGAGGCTGTCATTGTGTGAGAGCATCCAGAATTCCTCTGCTAAGAATTTAAATCATTATGAAAGAATGTGTCACTTCCATAATTCCATAAAAATCCATAATTTGCAAAGATGGTAAATTACTGACTTCAGTTTCAGCCTAAATAAAGTTACACTGACTTTTAGAGGGTAAATATACACTCAGAATGTGTTCAGAATTCCCCACGGACAGATCTCCGTTGTGATGATGTTACTGATTACTCAAGGGGGGAAGCTGCAAGAAAAAGGACCTTGGTTTGCTTTTCTTGTTAACACTGTCTTGGAACAGGAAACAGGATTCGAGCCAAAAAAGTAAAAAAGAGAGTAGACAGAAACAGGCCACTGTTGTCATCCTGTTGGGACAGAGACGAATTGAGAAATAAAGAGACAGATGATGCTCTGACTGGATGTGAAGCCAGTGCGCTGATTGTTGTAATGACTCATTCTGCAGGTTTACATTAGTAGAGACAGTACTGTACAGAACCAGAACATACTTTTGTAAAGACACTGTGGCAGCTGTGGCCAGAGAAGGGTGTAGAGCGGGTCATCCACCAATGGGATGATCAGCAGTTCGATCCCCTGCTCCTCCAGTCCACATGTCAAAGTATCCTTGGGCGAGATACTGAACCCCAAATTGCTCCTGATGGCTGTTCCATCGGTGTGTAAGAGCATGTGAATGCTTACTGAGTAGCATGTGGCACCATGTATAGTAGCCTCAGCCACCAGTGTAAATGGGTGAATGTGATGTAGTGTAAAAGTGCTTTGGGTGGTTGGAAGACTAGAAAGGCGCTGTACAAGTGCAGTACATTTACCATTAACACTACTGTACAGTGCTGACTGCAAACACTGAGCCTCACTCACAAATATCTAATTAAAATGTTCTCAAATTTGTTTTTAAGAAAGGCCCCAAGGAAAGACGATGTTAGATTCAAGGCACGTTCTTAAACCTATTATTTGTTTGCATCTGTGGTCGTATAACGATGAATCCCACTGTCCTTGCTTGCTAGTTGACCCTAATTAGCACAGGTAAGCTCTGCACGAAGAAGTAGAAGGAAAGTTTAAAGAATTAAGTCAAGAATGCCTAAACTTGTCGGTGAAGATTCTCAGTCATACAGGTCATGGTAATCACAAGCACTATATTGTAGGCAGCTGGACTTGCTAAAGTCCCAAAACACCCAGGCATAAGCAGAGTAATGTAGTGTATGCAGTTCAGTGCAGCCAGGGATGCACAGATTTGTACATTGGTGAAACAAAACAATCACTTCACAAGCGCATGGCTCAGCACAGGAGAGCCAGCTCCGCAGGTCAAGACTCGGCTGTACATTTACATCTAAAGGAGGAGGGACATCCCTTCAAGGAAAGCAAAGTTCATATCTTGGCCAGAGAAGACAGATGGTTTGAAAGAGATTGGAAAGAAGCCACGTCAAACTGGAACAACCATCATTTAACAGAGGAGGTGGCCTACGACACCACTTATCACCCAGTCTTGGGATCCCTCCCCAGACGACTCAACACCCACTCACACCTGGACCCAACTAATCCTAACAACACACAAGATGGCCGGGTAGGTCAACACCTCACATGTGACCTCAATGACTCTGTAAGTCATCTGTAAGCGAACGTCTTCAAGAAACTCAAGCAAGTCTGGTTGCCTACGATATAGCACTTATGAATGCCCAAACGAAAGTTTAAAGAGGGTGGAAAAAGAATTAAAGACTTTAGTAGTTTTGAAGTGGAGGTACTTCTGCAGGAAGTTAATGCCAAATGAGCTGTCGAATTTCTTGGGATGCATGTCAGGAATAAGGACAGTGCCAAGCAGCGTGGTGCTCTCTAAGGTGTGCATGTGTTTGTTTTAGAGAGAGATAAGCCCTGTTCAAGGCAGGAATGTTGTGCCGTTATTCCGCCTTGCTGTTAACGTACTATTGCGGAAGGGGGGCACAGAGTTGTCTTGCCTTTAAGCTGACAACGGAAGTCGAAACACCACTGACTCAACAACTGTGTAAAAGGAACACCCAGCAGGACGGGACAAGTGTGACGTTTTGACAACATGTGATATGAGTAGTCACCGCTAGGAGATTTAAAAAAGCTGCTAGCAGCAGTTAGCAGCTAACTCAAAGAGAAGAAGAGAAACCGAAAATGTGCGCAAATTGGGAGAGAGAGATCAAAGTCTGGTCCTGTATATGAAGCAAAGCCAGCATAAGGAAGGGTCTTTGTGAGAGGGGGGAAGATCAGTCACGAATTATTAGACAGTGTGGTTTCCACTGACATAACTGATGCGATAATGACTTTGAGTTCTTACATGTGGATATGCGAGAATGTCAAAATCAGGATTGAGGAAATGTCTCAGTCCTTGTTCGGCTGCTGGGAGCGTCACTCCACGGATGAAGAGGATGAACAGCAAAAGGTAGGGGACTGTAGCAGTGACGTACGCTACCTACAAACACAAAAATACATACAAAAGAGAAAGTTATGATTTTATATGTAGACATAAACACTCACTACTTACAACTTTGTCAAATCACACAGGAGTGAAGGTTGACAGAAAGGTAGCAAGATGAGCTAAAGAAGCCATATGTAAGAAACCCAATATCATGGACAGTACTGTATGTGTATGCATAAGGAATAATCGCCTTTCCTGCAGATTTGATTCCTCGAAAGATGCAGAGGTAACACACAATCCAGGCGAGGAGGAGACACGCAGCCAAATCCCAGTTCACCGGACCCAGGGTCATGTCATGTGAAACCCTTAACACTCAGAACCTGTCGGGGAGAGATCAGAAAAGTTTACACATGAATATAACTGGATCCTCTATTAATAACATGCAGAATGAATCAGAGATGTGCAATGTATAAAGCATACACTCACCAGCCACTTTATTAGGTACACCTGTTCAACTGTTCATTAACATGAATCGGCCAATCATGTGGCAGCAACTCAGTGCATTCAGCCATGTAGACATGGTGAAGACGACCTGCTGAAGTTCAAACTGAGCATCAGAATTGGGAAGAAAGGTGATTTAAATGACTCTGAACGTGGCATGGTTGTTGGTGCCAGACGGGCTGGTTTGAGTATTTCAAAAACTGCTGATCTACTGGGATTTTCACACACAACCATCTCTAGGGTTTACAGAGGATGGTCTGAAAAAGGAAATATCCAGTGAGCAGCAGTTCTCTGGGTGAAAACGCCTTGTTGATGCCAGAGGTCAGAGGAGAATGGCCAGACTGCTTCAAGATGATAGAAAGGCAACAGGAACTCAAATAACCACTGGTTACAACCAAGGTCTGCAGAAGACCATCTCTGAACCAACAACACATCCAACCTTGAAGCAGATGGGCTACAGCAGCAGAAGACCACACCAGGCGCCACTCCTGCCAGCTAACAACAGGAAACTGAGGCTACAGTTCACACAGGCTCACCAAAACTGGACAATAGAAGATTGGAAAAACATTGCCTGGTCTGATGAGTCTGGAATTCTGCTGCCACATTCAGATGATAGGGTCAGAATTTGGTGTAAACAACATGAAAGCATGGATCCATCCTGCCTTGTATCAACGGTTCAGGCTGGTGGTGGTGGTGGTGTAATGGTGTGGGGGATATTTTCTTGGCACACTTTGGGCCCCTTAGTACCAACTGAGCATGGTTTAAACACAACAGCCTACCTGAGTATTGTTGCTGACCGTGTCCATCCCTTTATGACCACAGTGTACCCATCTTCTGATGGCTACTTCCAGCAGGATAACGCACCACGTCACAAAGCTCAAATCATCTCAAACTGGTTTCTTGAACATGACAATGAGTTCACTGTACTCCAATGGCCTCCACAGTCACCAGATCTCAATCCAATAGAGCACCTTTGGGATGTGGTGGAACGGGAGATTCACATCATGGATGCGCAGCTGACAAATCTGCAGCAACTGCAATGCTATCATGTCAATATGGACCAATATCTCTGAGGAATGTTTCCAGCACCTTGTTGAATCTGAGCCACAAAGAATTAAGGCAGCTCCGATGGCAAAAGGGGTCCAACCTGGTACTAGCAAGGTGTACCTATTAAAGTGGCTGGTGAGTGTGCTTTGGCAATACATTCAAAAACAGTAATAGGAACAAACATCTGCACCATGAATACAGATGGCCGGCTTGGGTGACTTTAACAGAATCTGCAGAGAAAAGAGCACATACTGTTCTCATCGTGCAGCACAGTCGATTTCCTGTTATGTTCTGTTCTGTTCTCACAGCAAATCGGGAGGTTATCACGTGATATCTACAGATTTTTTTTTTTTTTTTTTCCATCATTAACATCATGTTCACTCAGCTCCCCAACAGCAGAGATGGCCTCTTGTTATCTTGGAGGCAGGGAGAAATGTTCCACCCAAAGAAAAGCATGCTGGGGAGGTGATATTCCTGTCAAAGCTGTTTTACATGTTTTAGGAAGATAAGTGTGTGAGTGTGTGTGTGTGTGTTTCTCACAGCCAGAACTCCTGTTCAGATGTCCTCCTCTCGTTCTCAAACCTGGAAATATTTAAAAGTAAGTAACATGAGTTCAAATTAACCCTTTCACACACAGTGTTCTCTGTGGTGTACAGCTATTTAAAAACCATTTTCTTGTACATGGGTTTTGATGCTCTTGTTTTAAGCCACTACACTGGACCCTAGTGCATCATGCCATACACTGCTACCTACTGTAAATCAATCAATTTCTGTTACTAGAATGTAATTTACAGTTTTACAGAAACATTTTTTGTAGAAATTTTGCATATTGAAAAAATTATATAGCCTAGTTCAACAGCATTTATATATATTTTTCATTGGTTTATATTTCTTTAAGTTGCATTCAGTAAACTTAAATGCATGTGGTCCACCAGAGTGGACGTGTGAAAACCCCTTGAAAAATGCATGTTTTTTTTTAATGAACATTGAAAAGAAATGTTCATGTCTAAAGAAGAATAAAAAAGCATAGAAAAAAAGGTTTAAATAAACTTCTTAGCAATGCTTCTCTATTGTTTTAAAGAGGACGTATCATGCTCATTTTCAGAGTCATACTTCTATTTAAGGTTTCTACTAGAATATGTTTACATGCTTTATAGAGGGAGCTTTTTACCCATTTCCAGTCTTTGCAGTAAGCTACACTAGTTTTTTTTTACCTATTTCCAGTCTTTGTGCTAAGCTAAGCTAGCTTTTTACCCATTTCCAGTCTTTGTGCTAAGCTAAGCTAGCTTTTTTACCCATTTCCAGTCTTTGTGCTAAGCTAAGCTAAGCTAGCTTTTTACCCATTTCCAGTCTTTGCGCTAAGATACACTAGCTTTTTACCTATTTCCAGTCTTTGCGCTAAGCTAAGCTAAGCTTTTTTATCCATTTCCAGTCTTTGTGCTAAGCTAAGTTAGCTTTTTTTACCTATTGCCAGTCTTTGCGCTAAGCTAAGCTAGCTTTTTACCCATTTCCAGTCTTTGCGCTAAGCTAAGCTAGCTTTTTTTTTTTTTACCCATTTCCAGTCTTTGCGCTAAGCTAAGCTAGCTTTTTACCTATTGCCAGTCTTTGCGCTAGGCTAAGTTAGCTTTTTTTTTACCCATTTCCAGTCTTTGTGCTAAGCTAAGCTAGCTTTTTACCTATTTCCAGTCTTTGCGCTAAGCTAAGCTAGCTTTTTTACCCATTCCCAGTCTTTGTGCTAAGCTAGCCTGCTGGCTGTAACTTCATATTCACCTGATGAGACTGGCATCGAACTTACCTTCTAACATTCTAATATCTCTAGCAAATAACCACATCTCCTAAAATGTCCATTATTTCACTGTGGCAGTATTCTGTTATTTGACACCCCAACACCTTTTAATTATACGGAAATACTAGAGAGTGCTGCACTGGGTTAAGATTCCGTGTAGATAGTTGTAAAAAAAAATCAGGTGCTCTTCAAGGATGATGCAAAGAGTCACTTAAAGATTAAAAAAAAACAACGACTGGGCAGCTCACTCAGTGTTAAAGTCCACAGTAAAGGCAGGCCGTCCAAAAATACATCCTTGGCACTCTGACTGTAGTTAAAAATCCTTTATTAATACGTGGATAACCAACATGTTTCCACTAGAGAGGCTTCATCAGGGTGTAAAATGCATTAAAAACAGGTGTGCAATTTAAGAGCACATGTGAGGGTCACCTATGGTCATGAGCTCTGGGTAGTGACCGAAAGAGTGAGAATGCGGATACAAGCGGTGGAAATGAGTTTCCTCCGTGGGGTGGCTGGGCTCAGCCTTAGAGACAGGGTGAGGAGCTCTGATATCCAGAGGGAGCTCGGAGTAGAGCCGCTGCTCCGTCGTGTCGAAAGGGGTCAGCTGAGGTGGTTAGGGCATCTAACTAGGATGCCTCGGTGTCCTAGGTGTCCAGGGTATATATATATCTCGTCTGGCCTGGGAATACCTCAGAGTCCCCCCAGCATTTTCACCCTCTCTAGTGGAAACACGTTGGTTATCCATGTATTAATGAAGGATTTTTAACTACAGTTGGAGTGCCTCGGATACATTTTTGGTCTGCCTGCCTGTACCATGGACTTTCACACTGAGTGAGCTGGCTAGTCATTCTTTTTTATCTTTAAGTGACCTTTTAACTATGCTTGACAGGTCATTTAATTTATTAGGTGTACTTTTTACCCTCAAAGTTTCCCAAGGAGACAATTCATAGTGTTAGTTTTTATGCCAGATATAGAAGTGAAAACCTCCTGCTTTGAACACATGAAAGCATTTGAGTGACCCAGAGCTGCTACATCTATGGAGGACTAATCCCATATCATTTCATCAATTTTTTTTATGTTAAACATCAGTACAGTGAATTCTCAATGCATTCGGGATGTGTCACAAAATTCTAATTTATTATAGTTCATACAGTATTGCTTGAGAAATAACTGCAACTTACTCAGCACTGTAATCGTCAGTGTAATCATCAAGTGAAGTGAGGTTGTAGCTCGACCAAAAATGGGGGCCCCTGTGACATGCAGCTACGAGGTTGAGCAAAGAGAGGTGAAAGTCAGATGGATGTTGCATGCTTCAAAATGTTAAAATGTAAAGTTTTTCCTGAAGACCACGAGCAATAAACACACTGCAAATCAAATACAGATGTGTTCAAACAAGCTTAAATGTTAAGAAGAATTCCTCACCACTGTTCCACTGGTTGTCACACGTCGACCAGTGCAGCGTGCTTTTAAAGGAGTAATACAGGTAGACGAGAGCCCAGGCCATGGTGACAATGTGGCAGATGTTCAGGTAGGCCAGAATCACTTGGGACGCAATCCCTACCCCTGCAGGACACAGCGAGATTTCACATAGTTAGTGTCGTCCAGCAGTTATGCAGATGACACACAGCTGTACATTCCTGTTAATGACAACTCTATGGGGCTTGAAGTTACGCATAATTATCATCCATTCCCATATCAAGTATGGTGTGCCTCAAGGGTCAATTCTTGGTCTTATCTT